AACAAGTGCCACGCTAGTAGTAACAAGTGCCTTACTAGTAGTGACAATGTTTGCTATTAGAAACAAGTGCCTAGAAGTAGGTCATCGCAAGTAGGGAAGAGGTCATCGCTAGTAGGGAGGCGATACTTGCTTCTAGGAATCCAGGACGCTTGAAGCGCCCACTTTTTGGCCTTCCAGACTTGCGCCGCCATGGCGCCGCCATGCCCTCTTACCCTTACCGTTCGGATCTGTGGATCTGTCAGAAGAGAAAGAAAGGCCAATTGGTTCAGACCATTTAGACGACGACGTGTTAAACTCTAAAAGCGTTTTAGATGTGTATTGTTCTTCGATTTAATAGCCAAGATGTTATATAATTGAAAAATTGTAACGTCTAGACGTTACTTACTTTTTACTAGTTTGAAAATAATTTACATGAACGAGACAAAGCAAAGTAATTCTGTTCGTCGACGTGCTTCTACAGCGCGGACCGACACTCCAGGTCCCGACACCCTCTACGCGCTCTCCAATTTCTCAGCGGTGAACTCGATGGGTGCCTTGGGTACGGCATCGGCATCAATGAAACATGTTCTTTCGAAAGAAAAATCCAGATCTGAAAAAGAAAATAACAAACAAAAGATCTAAAAAGATCTTCCAACAAGCTAGTAGTAACAAGTGCATCGCTTCTAGTAACAAGTGCATCGCTTCTAGTAACAAGTGCCTTACTACTAGGAGCAAGGACGCTACTCGTGTTCTACCGAAAAGTCTGCACACTTGGACTCTTGAGACCAGGCAGCGGAAGTCCTGCAAGGGAGTTGCAATTCTGGACGATGCCATTGAATCCCATCATCGAAGGCCGGACTTTGTGTTTGCGTAAAGGTTCCTTGTGTTTGTTTTTTCTTGAGGTAGCTTCTATTTACTAGTTCCTGTAGCAACTACGTACTGGACGCAGGATAGCTGCCGCCCTAATGATTTGCTTCCTAGACAAAACTGGGAAACAGACCCTTTGGATGTTGGGCCAAACCTTGAATGAGTTAGCAAAGACGGAAAGGTAAAGGTCCAAAGAAAGAGTTGAACTCATGTCTTGTCAAGCTTGTGGTCTCCGGTCAGGCATTCGAGTCCGGCAAGGCTGCGGCCGTCAACGTGTCGAAACGAAGGGAACGTGTTTAGAAAAAAGAGCTACTATTAACAAAGACTGTTTGGTTTCAAGGAGACCTCGTGCAAATGAACATGTTTTCATAGATCTATAAAGATTGTTCATGATTTGGGATTTATGGCAAAACTCTCGTTGTAACACCATAGAACTTCTTTCAGTAATTCAGGAGCCTATCACGAGGCGTTTCAAAGGAAATGTGTCTAAAGCGATGTATCTACTTTCAAAGCACTGGCCCAACGACATCCTCTCAGCAACTGTGTTTCTTGTTTGGGAAGAGTTGAGATTATATTTGGCAAAGAATCCATCTCTGTTCAAGGGGCCTCAGCCTGTGTTGGAGGATCCAAGTATGTCCAAAACGAGCTTTTCAAGCAGTGACCGCACGTATATTTGCATATATACATAAATTACGTAAGGCCGCAAGGGTCTGAACACAGAGATGAACAAAAAGAAGGTGAGGCATTGTTTTTCTTTGACGTGAAGCAGCTGGGGAGCTGACACTGTGGGTATATCGGCTTCTTCCCTTGCTCGAAGCCGATGTTGCTGCCCCTTCATGGAGTCCACAACGGCCTTAGGGCCTATCAAAGCTTTGAAGCGAATTGGGAACTCTTGGAATCGATTCCTTAGAGTCGCCAAGAGGACAAGAGACACGTTTTGCTTCGTAGCTTCGTGTTTTCTGAAACTTTGTACCTTTGAACTAGCCTTGAAACGTTCAGTGTGGAATTGTCTGCCAGGCTTGGTGATTCTGACGTTACTTGAGACCGGCGGAGAGCACGTGAGTGATCTGGCTGCGACCTCAGCACTAAGGTTCGCACTTGTTTCTAGTAGCTTCTTGTTACTAGTAGTAAGGCCAGGAGCGCCCTTAGTAGCGTCCATGCTCCGTTCGTGGCGATGCCCTTTGTTCCTAGTATCTTCTGTGTTGCTGCCAAACTGAAGCAGTCCATTGTGCAGCTGCGCAGAATAAAAAGGCGATTTCACCAGCTGCCACGGAGAAGGGGCCTGTGCAAGTTCATCCCTATCCCTTTGCAAACACCACAGCACAGCACACGTGTTACAAACGAAACATTTCTAGAATTCACTTTGCTATGTCTTCCAAGGAGACAGTGGTTCGCTTGGAATCCACGGGCCAAGAGAGTTCCTTTTGGCTGCCAAAGGCGAGAGGGGCTCCCATCGCTAGAAACAAGTGCCTTACTAGTAGTAACAGGTGCCTTACTAGTAACAAGAAACTATTAGGATATTCTAATTTAATTAGAATCTAATTAAACTTAGTAGCAAAGGAGACTACTAGGACCTTTTCCCGCGCGCGCACGCGCGGGGGGGGGGGGTAGGAACAATAAGCTACTTAGGAGCAAGGGCATCGCTACTAGGAGCAAGGACGAACGACCTAAAGCGGCCTCGTCGAACGAGGCTCTAGATGAGAGAGAGAGAGAGAGACACTTTGATGACTTCGCAAGTAGAGAACTGACGGACGATTCAGGTGTTTGCCACGACACAGTTGCAGGATGCAATTGAGTTTTGAAAGAACAAGATGGAATGCACACCACTCGAAAACAAGTGGCCAAACATTGTTTGACACTGTGGAACACTCTTGCAAGACACTCTTGTATCAATCAGGAGCAGGCGCTACACAACAGCAATGATTTGCGCCTTCAGTTACTATGATCCCTTTTTCCGCAAATCCTTTATGGCTGCTATGTTTGGCCCCTTTGTAGGGTAACGCGATCCAGTTGCAGTCGCTGTGCACAGGTTTTTCCTTGCTCCAGCTTTCAATATCTTTTAAGCACCATCAATCGCTTCTCACGTCGACTAAAATCCTTTTTGTCCGCCGCCTGGCCCCAAGTCCTGACTTCTCTGCTTGTTACCTTCATGGGATAGCGCAATCCGGTTGCCATCGCTACTGTAAAGTCGTTCTGTGCGACAGCACGTGCGCGTGGCTCCGGTTACTCTATCAGAGCGGGCTAGCAGTTAGAATTTCGTCAAATTCAATACACGCGGTTAGAGTGGTCAAGATCGCATTAGGGTGAGCACGAAACACTTGTGTATAGTTCCAATTTGTCGCAGTTAGAAAGCTGCATGGTGAGCCAGCGGACCAACGAGCAGCCTATTTCCTCACTACCCCTTGTAGCAGCTCAGGGCAGCAGCTCTTCTCCCAGCATCCTCATGTCCAACCTTCTTTCAAACCCAAAAACTCATATCGCTAAAACGCTCCAAGGCCATCAACTAGATTCCCGTTATCTAGCTAGAGTGCTCAAGGGCCAACTCTTACGGAATTGCGTGACTTGTACCAAAGTCAAATCGGCATATCATTCTGCATACAGGCATTACTACGTGCACTCGTGTTTTTTCATGTTCCAACATCTGAACTCTTTTGACATGCACATTTGGGAGTTCCCGTCGGACAAGTGTGGGGAGACGAGTTGAGTCATTGAGAAATAAGAACTATAGTTTGTCTAGTAACAAGAAACTATTAGAATAACATTTAAACTAAATTAGCTTTTTGTTCCTAAGGCACTTGTTACTACTAGCGATGCACTTGTTACTAGTTTGTCTCTGTGTTCAGCGGTCCAGAGGTCCGGTCCAAAAGGATAAAACTAGGAGCTAAGTGCATCGCTACTAGTAACAAGTGCATCGCTAGTAGTAACAGGTGCCTTACTAGTAACAATATTTGCTAGTAGAATCAAATTTAAATTAGAAAAGATTAGGAAACAAAAGATGCAAAGATTGTTTTAGAAAGAACGGAAAGACATCGGTGATATTTGTCGTTCTGTCGCCAGTCTGCATTGCGCGGCGAGAAGATGCGGGAGCTGTGAGGGACCCACAGGATGCACCGCTGTTGGGCACTCTGTTTCGCAATCTGCGGAACAAGGGACGCTACTAGGAGCAAGGGCCTTACTAGTAGTAACAAGAAGCTAGTAGAAACAATACATAAATCGAATTAAAATTAGTAGCAAAGAAGGCTACTAGGACCTTTTCGCGCGCGCGCACGCGCGGGGGGGGGGTAGGAGCAAAGGACGCTACGGCTAGTAGCTTCTTGCTCCTAGTAGTAAGGCCAGGAGCCCCTAGTAGCTTCTTGTTACTAGTAATTCTATGTTTTGTTCTGCAGCTCATTACTTATTCACGCCGCTAGGTCCGCCCGCACCGCCACGAATTCCATAATAGATATATGCAAGACATTGGCATCGTAGAATCTTGAACTCCCCAATCCGTTTCTACAAACAAGCCACAGTCTGCTAATCAGCGGCAAGAGAGCAGAGGGCCCTGAGAGGTCAAAAGCAGGTATGAAGAGTAATGAGTCAGTTAAGCGTTGAACATCCCAGTATTTTTTTTGAAGAGCAGGTATGAGTAACTTACGAGATGGAGTCTCAAGCAGTTAAGCAACCTGCAGCTGGAAGTTTGACGCGCTGGTTGAATGGCCCCTTTGATTCTTCCATCTCGGAAAAGCACCGTGATTGACGGAGCGAGGTTTGTGACGTAGACGTTGCCGAAAACACGACTATGTACCTTTTTTTCAGTGTTTTTACGTTCTGTGAGGCAGAAACCACTGCAAATATCGACGTTTTTGAGCTTGCCGTGGGCAAAAGCACCACTTTTTACCATATTTTTCAGTGTTTTTATGCTTTGCGAGGGAGAAAACACTGTAAATATCGATGTTTTTGAGATTGCCGTGGCCCAAAACACTGCTATTTACAGTGTTTTTGAGCCTGCTGTCAAAAAGCACTGCAATTTGCGACGTTTTCAACAACGTGGCCGCCAAAAACGCTGCTATTTGCGAGGTTTTTTACGTTTTCGTGCAAAGACGTCAAGCCTAGACAATTTACAAAAACACTGCAAAAACCAATGTTTCTGCCCAGCAAAAACGGCGAAAACTGTCGCCCAAACAGCTCCGAAATCGCAAAATCTGGTGCCGCGGCCGCCCGACAAGAGACATGAAAAAAAAGAACGTCTTGAAACCGAAAATCGAAGACCTAAATGTCAAAAAACTCAATGTGTTTTAACGTTTATCTTGCCGATTCCGGGCGGGCGCACGCGGTAACTAGTCCATTCCGTGCTGTAAAACACTGTATTTTTTTAATACCGCCGTCACGACCTATCAAAAACTCACGGTTTTGGCCTCGAAAAGGGTCCCGCCCCCCAGGTAAACCTGACCTTACAGTTGTTGATGCCATCCGGATGATCACGCCCTGAGCACCTTCGGTGCGGGCGGATTTAAAAAACTCTTCAATGTGTCGGTTTTTCGACTTCTTTTCCCAATCCTTGCTCTTGCGTTAATACCTTTATTCCACAGTCCCCATATGCCCTTCCCTCCAGAAGTGCTTTTGGTTTGCCTTTCCAAATTGGTAGCTATCGCGAATTGGTCTTCGTGTTTCTTTGATGTGCTTGCAATTGTTTGTTAAAGTGAAAAGACAAACCATTTGCTGCTGACTGTTTAGGCTTCGTGAGGAGACAATGGGGCAAATCTGGACATGGGTATCCCACTTTTTGGAGCCAAGAATGGATGGAAGTAAGCAAGAGTCTTGCTGCAAGACGGTCCCCCAACCGAAAAACAATTCAAGTTCAAACTGATCAGAATGCCAAACCGCAAGCATCAAATAGAATGCATAGAACCGCAGGAAAAAGCAAAAGAGCGTGCAATGGCTGCATCGGAAATCTACAAGTTTTTCATGTGAGCATTGGAGCTGAGAAGTGCCACTTAGGACTCTTAAGATTGCCTACAGCCTCCAGCCCCCATGCTACTCCTTAGGATACTCCTTACACTGTCGTCATGTTCTTCGTTTGAGGCCACTGGACTTCCAGAAGATGCCTGAGTCCGGTCAAAGTGGCCACGTCGTCACAGAGGCGGTTCATTGCATCAAGATCAGGCCGATGTCTCGCATCTCAGTTTGACTCAACGTGCTTTCGGTTGCTGCCCGCTTTTTTTCGAAGCCCGAAGCCAAGTAGTAAGAATGCTACTAGTAGTGATGCCAGGAGCCCCTAGTAGCGTCCGATCGCTCCTAGTAGCGATGCCCTTTGCTCCTAGTAGCTTCTTGTTCCTAGCAAATGTTTTTTGTGTGTTTGTTATTTTCGCAAAAAGCGATCTCCTCCTAGCCTACGAGCGGTTTGTTCTTTTTTTGGTGCAAACATGCGACCCGTTTTGGTGCAAAGGTTGCATGTTCGTGCTAAAAGCGAAAGACTGAGATAGAGGGCAGCGTAAAGCTTAGACACCACGTTCGTCGTCAGTTCGTCACATGGCCACTTCAAAGCATTTCGTTGATAGTGTTCCTTTGTCCGAAACCATAGTTTCTTCACCCTGACACCCTTCCCCCAGAGATTGGGTTTGTCTCCATCGATTTGTTAGCGTGTTTCAAGAATTGCAATCCGTCTTGGGTGTTTCAAGCCATTGTTCATCTCCCTTTTTGGGTTTTCTCAGTCTCCTGTGCTGGATTTGTCCAGGGCACGAAATCCTGGAGGATTGTCCACGTGGAGCGAGGACGATGTTGACCAAATCTGCTATTCTTTACGTTGAGAGGACGCTACTAGTAACAAGGGCATTTCTATTAGGAGCAAGAACGCTAGTAGCTCCTGGCCTTACTCAACTGAGGAAGGAAGGTCTCAAGGTCTTTCTGTAAGGCTCCCTACTGAAGGAGGCCTGACCTGTGTTTTCTCTTGAAGTAATGCCCTTTGTTACTAGTAGCTTCTTGTTACTAGTAAGGCCAGGAGCCCCTAGTAGCGTCCTTTGCTCCTACCCCCCGCCCGCGCGCGCGTGCGCGAAAAGGTCCTCGGCTCGGCTCGGCCTCCTTACTTTGCCTGAATCAAACGGAGTAAGTTGGCGCTACTAGTAGCGTCCTTGTTACTACTAGTAAGGCACTTGCTACTAGAAGCGATGCACTTGTTCCTAGTAGCGAACCTTGTTACTAGGAATAGCTCACTGATTTGGTTCAGTTTTACGGAAACAGAGTGGCAACATTTAAGAACCCTCCACAGCTCTCCTCTTACACATGCCAATGTCGATCAATAACGTGCAAGTAGCATTCCTCCACCTTGTGGTTCTCAGCTCGGGTCCTTATCCTTTTCAATAACCGCCAACGCAAGAATGGCTTTAGAACACGTCACCTTGTTTCAGGAGCTTAGCACCAGCGCAATTGCATGGCAGCAGGGCGCCGACTATGCGCAACAAGCCCTGGAGCAGGCGCAACAAAGTTTCGTTTTAAAGATTTTGTTTTTGAAGGCAAATCTTTTCTTTTTTAAGGCCGCTCTGCCCCCTGCCTAGTTAATTAAGTAGGCGCCTACTGAATTAAGTAAGGGACTAGTAAGCTAAGTTAGCTTCTAGGTAGGGCGCAGGTTTCTAGAATTTTTGCAAAATTTAGTTGTATTACACCTCCAACCTACTTGCGATGACCTCCAACCTAAGAGCGAAGGCCACCCTTTACTTCGTTTAGTCAGCATTTGTCTTGGCGCTTCGTAGCACTGACCATGAAGCTACTAGGAACAAGGACATCGCTACTAGTAACAATAAAGGCATTACTACTAGGAGCAAAGAAAGCTACTAGTGACTAAGGGTATCGCTACTAGTAGTAATGCCCTTGTTACTACTAGCTTCTTGCTACTAGTAGTAAGGCCAGGAGCCCCTAGTAGCGATGCCCTTTGCTCCTAAGTAGTACGTTCCGAAATTGGAAGATGAGGCGATGCAGCGACGCGTCGCAGATAAACTGGCACAGGTTCTGCAGGAGACGCTTTGGGTGAGCAACTTCACTTGCCTTACGGCCCAAAAAAGTGTTGAAACAGCAACTTTGCTAGTAGAATTGGGTTTTGAACTCAACCACATCTTACTATATTCCTCTGGAGTGTGGTTTCTTCTTTAGGCATTCCTTTCTTGCTTTCCTTATTTCCTTTTTTCTTCCACTTGTAGAATCTTTGGGTCTTGGATTTAATCGCAATTTGCTACATTCTTCTACAGGGCACGGTTTTAGGTTCTACGTGTTGAGGATGTGCGCGATATCGAGTTTGACGACAAGACCTTGGTGCCAAAGGCCCTCCTCATTCCAACTAGTACCTTCGAGAGGGAGTTCGAAAGGAACGAAAGACAAGGGAGAGGAAGACAAGTGAAAAAATGTGTTTTAAGTTCGAAAAGGAAAAAAGAGGTTGCAAGGTCCAGAAAAGAGAAGGGTAAATTGCAAAACATATCAGGAACGGAATGTGAACAAAAGGAGGAACAGTTGTGTCTCCGTCTCTGTGAGAATCGAAAAGTGAGGCCACTGAGTTGTTGGAAATCCTTCAGAAGGTTCAACAGGAGGCGAGGTGTTATGCAGAGCGGAACGCTGCAGAGCTCTTTTTTGCGCACCGGTAGGAGCAAGGCTCGCTACTAGGAGCAAAGGGCATCGCTACTAGGAGCGATCGGACGCTACTAGGGGCTCCTGGCCTTACTACTAGTAACAATGTTTGCTACTTCAGACCTTTGTTATGTCTTTTTTGACCTTTAGATACCTTTAGACCTTTCTGCCTTTTGTGTCGAAAAGTTGCAACGAGCAGAGCAGTGTAGCAATGGTGAAAAGATGTGAAAAGGGCCTAAGGGTAAGGAGTTTTTGGGGGAGGGGTCATGTGTAGACATGTTTGCGGTGAAGAGAGAGAGAAGAAAAGCTCCATCGAAAGGACTAAAGAGAGATCCAAGAAGTAAGCACAACTAAGAGAGAGAGAGAGAGATGCTAGTAGCGTCCTTTTGTTCCTAGTAGTAAGGCCAGGAGCCCCTAGTAGCGAACATGCTCCTAGTAGGTCAGACGAGAGCCGCAAGAGTTGAGGTGGAGGAAGCCATTGAGGCACGGGATCCAGAGAACCTGCAGAAGGCACTCAGCCATGCTCACGAGGCTGGGCATTTCACGAAGCTGAACGAGCAGTGCATTAGGTGGAGGCCATTGCTACTAGTAGCAAGAAGCTACTAGGTGGAGGCCATCGCAAGTAGGTTGGAGGCCATCGCTACTAAGAACAAGAAGCTACTAGTAGCTTCTTGTTACTACTAGCGATGCCCTTGTTACTAGTAGCGTTGCCCTCTGCTCCATGTGGTTTCCCTTTTCTTTCTCACCTTTGGACAGTTTTTTTTTTAATGCCCTTTCTATGTGTTTGTTCTTTTTCCTTGCTTCTTTGCAGGCATAATTTGGCGGTGTTTTCGTGTTTGAACCAACAAGAATGCGTGGTTTTATTTTTGCCATCTACCCGGAAGAGAAGCCCAATGCGATTGCTGAGTCTTTCCTGAAGCTGTCTCGATTGAGGTCATGCTTCCAGGATTGGCCGAGGCCGAGCATTTTTTTGAAAAAAGGTTTCAGAGTCAACAGAGACTGCTCCTAGGAGCGATGCACCTTGTTCCTAGTAGCTTCTTGTTACTACTAGTAAGGCACTTGTTACTAGTAGCGATGCACTTGTTACTAGTAGCTTCTTGTTCCTGAGTCAACAGAGACTGTTTTCGAAAGAATATTCCGTAGCAATCGTATCTTAGACAATGGACACTCTAGTAACTACTGCTGCTAGTGAAGTTCATGAACGGCAAGCATTCTAAGCTTTGACAAAGGCGACGTATCGTTTCTCAGTTTCAGAGTTAAATAGCCGTTTCCGCTAGTCTAATAGCGATGGCCTCCAACCTACTAGCTTCTAACTACTAGTAGCTTCTTGTAGTTACTAGTAGCGATGCCAGGAGCCCCTAGTAGCGTCCTTGCTCCTAGGAGCGATGCACCTTGTTCCTAGTAGCTTCTTGTTACTAGTAGTAAGGCCAGGAGCACCTAATAGCTTCTTGTTACTACTAGTAAGGCACCTGTTACTACTAGCGTGGCACTTGTTTCTGTAAGGCCAGGAGGCCAGGAGCGAAATGATTCTGTGGCCACCGCCAAAAGCTGGTGCCCACGGCCGAGGCTGAGAAGCTGCTGGAGACCTTGCAGCGCGTTTGTCACAATCTGGACACTGCCAGGCGACAAAACAAGATGACACTACTCGTGGCTCCTGGCCTTACTACTAGTAACAAGAAGCTACAAGG